AATTAATTAAATGATTTAAAAATCGAATGAAAATTTTACTCACAGTTTTGCAGGAGCTTTTTTACGATAACAATGAACACAACCATATATTGAAGCGCTTATAATTACTGCAAGGATAATACCTATAACAATGGCTGCAATAATTGCATGTTTTTGTCGTTCTGCTGTCCACCAACAAGACGAACTATCATAACCAGAACTAACAATTTGAGCACATACTTTTGTAAATGTTTCTTTAGTATTGGATGCTAATTTTTCCGAATATTCTTGTGAACATTGTGTCACTACACCAATCTCACAATCCATTGTTTCCCAAACAAAACAGCAAAAATTTTTTGTTTCATAAAACTGAATAAAACATGGAAATGAATTAGATTTTTAAAATCAATGCACAAACAAACTTACATAATCAGGTATAATAACTTCCCATTTTAGTTGAATTGAATGTTCACATTGATCAAATTTTTCATGAATTGATTTGTCACAATTCAATGATTTCGGTATACCATAAACAGGTTTATATGGAAAACGTATTCCATCCCAATCAATTTGATTATTATGAATTCGTTGAAATGTTCGATCGCTTTCGGCTTTGTTTGAATACATAATTTTGATGACAACAAAAATTCAACCAAAATCTTTTTTTTTGGTTGAATTTTTGTTGTTAGAATAATGTTGATTTTAAAATCATCGAATTAATTGAAATTTTCAATCGAGTTTGGCAAAGAAATTCCATTGATTTTATACTAAAATCAAAATACTATTCGATGATTATTATTAGTTCGATTTATCAAATAATTTTAAATGAAAATTATACCAGACTTATTTAATTAGTGAATTAATTAATTTGTTTTATTGAAATCAAAAGAAATTGAAGATAAATCTATTATGGCGGTGTTGATAATAATGATTGAATATTTATACCTAAATTATAATAAATTCTATTCATTTCATCTGATGATGTTAATCCAGAAGATGATGATGATGTGGAAATAGTTGCCATTTCATGTGGATGATAAATATAATCAATAATTTTTGGTTTGGTTGTCATTTGTTCGGATAATTCATCCAAATATCCATCAGATGATAATGATGATGATGATTTTGTTATCGATATTGGCATTGTAATTGTTTGTAATGATGATTTTGTTGAAAATGGTTGTAAAAATTTTTCCAATTTATCATTATGAATATTGTTTTTCATTTTTTTACCAGTGATTTGACTGAAACAAATCAAAACAAAACAAAAAAAAAACATTAAATCAAATTTTAGATATCAAAAATTTATTTTCCCAAACGAAAATATAATATCGTCCAATGTTAAAGCCGGATTTATGCTAAACTTACTTTGAATTTATCAAACGATTAATTCGATAAATACCAATAATTATAAATATGGATAAAATAATAAGTATAAAAAATCCAATACTAAAATAGATTTGTTTATCTTTTGTCCACCAACAAGACCATGATTGATATGTTGAACCAATATAATCACAAACAATTTCAAATGATTCTTTTTTGTTTGTTTCTAATTTTTTTGAATATTCATTTGAACATTCGGCAGCAACATTTTGTTCACAAATCATTGTATTCCAAACAAAACAGCAGAATTTTTTCGTCATATAAAACTTTTTTTTTCAAAAGTAAATGGTTTTTGTTAATTTAAAATTCAATATTTGTGTGTGTGTGTGCACAACTTACATAATCATCATTAGTAATATGCCATTGAAAACGTGATGAATTTTCACACCGATAAAAACGATCATAAATCAATTCACTACAATTTAATGATAATGGTAAACCATAAACTGATTTATATGGAAATATTTTTAAATACCATTCGGTTAAATTTCTCATATCAATATCTTGATTATTAATCTTTGTCGTTGTTGTTAATGTTTGTACATTATTATTATTGATCATCATAATAATCATCATAATAAACATCATGATGATTATTAATATTTTTGAATAAAATTAATTATTACAAAATGAAAAAAAGATTTATCCAATGATTTTTACTTAAATACTAACTATATTTTGTCGTTTTGACAAACAAAACAAAAAAACATTTAAATAACCAACAAGAATGATCATTAAAATTTTAGAAAATTTATATTATAAATTTCGAACCATTTTTGTAAAAGGAAAAAAAATTATATATTAATATTTAAATTAATTATTATTCTATTTTGTTTGTTTGTTTGTTTGTTTGTTTGTTTGAAAAATATTTGCATAAAGAAACAAAAAAAATTAATGAATCAATTTTATCAGGTATAAGTTTTTATTGAAATTATCAAATAATCTTATACTTTCAAAGCGATAGAATCTGGCATCATTGCAGATTCTGCTGCTAATGCTTGTGATAGTTTCATCATCTTTTCTAAAATTATTCCTGATGTTTTTGTTGTAGTTGGTGATATTTCTATCATCGGTTTATCTGACATCATTGTTGGTGTTGTTCTCATTGGTGCAATTCCTTTCAGTTTAATTCTCGTCACTTCTGTTGTCGTTGTTGGTGATATTTCTGTCATCGGTTCATTTGACATCACTGCTGTTGGTGATGTTTCAATTATCGGAAATCCTCCTAAGACACGCATTTGGTTTGTTATTGTATTAATTCCTTTTCTAAAATGGTATGCACAAAACGAAAGCAAACCAGCTAAAAAAGCTCCAATACCAACAGAAGCTGCTTTACTCAAAAAAGATACACAAGAATAACTTTTATATTCTGCGCCAATATGTCTACACGTTGGTTCATAAAATTGTTTAGTGTCTGCTTCAATTTGGTTTGCAAAATCTTTTGAACATTTTTCCGCCTCTTTTATTTCACAATCCATAAAATCCCAAATAAAACAGCAAAATTCTGTTGTAGGATTCATCTTTTTTTTTTTTTGGTTTTCAAACAAAAAAAAAATGAATTTGTTCATTGATATTAAAATCATTCAACATATATATTATTGTTCAACTTACATAATCATCACGATGCATTTTCCAACTTGCTTGTTGTATTTTTTCACATAGATAAAATTTGTCATANAAATCTTTTGAACATTTTTCCGCCTCTTTTATTTCACAATCCATAAAATCCCAAAAAAAACAGCAAAATTCTGTTGTAGGATTCATCTTTTTTTTTTTTGGTTTTCAAACAAAAAAAAAATGAATTTGTTCATTGATATTAGAATCATTCAACATATATATTATTGTTCAACTTACATAATCATCACGATGCATTTTCCAACTTGCTTGTTGTATTTTTTCACATAGATAAAATTTGTCATATACTGATTTATCACAATTAAATGAATTTGGTTTGTTATAAACAATGTTTTTGTAGTTTGGATCTTGATATGATTGAATAAATGAACCACAATCGATTACCATTACAATCATCATTAAAATGTTTGAATAAAATCGATAATTACAAGCAAACAATTTACTCATTATAAGAGAATTTTAATCGTTTCTTTCAGTAATAAAAAAAAAATTCAGTAACAAAAAAAAATTCACTAATAAAAACTCGTAACTCTAGAATGGAAAATCTGTTGGAATATGGTTTGCATTTAAAATAAAATTCAATTCCATTGTTGTTATTGTTTATTCTATTGTAATTGTTTCTATTTCGTTTCTAATTTTTGTTCCTTTTCATGATTCGAAATGGGGGTATTATTCCATCCATGGAAGAAATTTTCAATACCATAAAAACTCTACTCTATTCATTATACTCTATTTTTCCACTCAGATTTCCCAACATCTCATAACCAGTAACAGGGTTAAACATAATACAGGTAACATAATTTTTTGAAACAATCGAATATAAAAAAAAATAATAATAATTTTGTCCACTAATTTTTTGAATTATGATTTCAATTCATTAACACTCATTAAGCCGGCGCTTGCAAAAAACACATTGAACCACAGCAAATGGACGACGAATATATTCCTCGCTGGTAGCGAACGTGTTAATCGTTTTTTAACAGTTGTAAATTTTCATAATTTTGAAATAAAAATCCAAAATCGCAATACTTTGATTTAATGAGAATTTTAAATAGTTTAGCACAGTTTAAAAACTGTTTTTAAAAAAGAAAATTTCTGCCAGGGATATGAAAAAAGGAACCAAATATTATTCGAAATTTCGGTGAAATCTAGTTTGAATCGAAATAGATTTCATCACATAAAACAAAAATTACTAAATCAATTTATCAGCAATAAGTTTTATTGAAATTATCAAATAATTTTATACTTTATAAGCAATAGTGGTAGAATCTGGCAACATTTTTGCTGATGCTGCTGTTACTACTTGAGATAGTTTCGCCATCCTATCTGCCATCATTGGTTTTGCTATTGCTGGTGATGTATCCGTCATCGGTTTAACTATCATCACTCCTGGTTTATCTGCATTAACTTCTGTCGTTGTTGTTGGTGATGCTTCTATCATTGTTCCATCAGTCACAATTTCTTCTTTGTTAGCAGATTTCAATAACGATTTTCTAAATACATAGTAAAAACATATCCCCAACAAAGTAACAAAAAAAGCTCCAATACCATATTGTACTGCTGCAGAACTCATTATGACAAAATTTTAATCGTTTCAGTAATACTAAATCAGTAATAAATCAGTAATAAATTTTTTTTCACTGATAAAAATTTCAATAATAAAAACTCGTAACTCTAGAATAGAAAATCTGTTAGAATCTGGTTGGCATTTTAAATAAAATTCAATTCCATTGTTGTTATTGTTTATTCTATTGTAATTGTTTCTATTTCGTTTAATTTTTTTGTTCATTTTCATTGTTGTTTTCTAAATTCATAATAGAATTGTATTTGTAACATTATTTATTGTTGCCTGCTGGTTTTTGGTGATGTTTCACAACAATAAAATCGATTATAAATCAATTTTTTTTCAAAGATGAGTTTTTATTAAAATTATCAACAACAAAAAAAAATATTTATATTTTCAATTATTAAGAAGACATTTCAGTTGTTGTTTTTGTTGTTGTTGTTGGTAATGATAGTTCATTATTTATCGATTTATCTGTTATTATTCTTTTCGAACATTTATCAACACTATGAGATTCAACATTATAATTTTTACCATAAACAAATCTAATAATCAAACAAAACATTGTCAAAATAATAAAAATTGTACCAATAATAATAAGAATTTTAATTTCAATAGCCATTTTACATGACCAACTATTATATGCTGAACCAATCTGTTTACACATTGTTTCAAATTGTTCTTTAGTACTTTGTTCAATTTGTTTTGAATATTCTTTTGAACAAATTGCTGCCACTTTTGATTGACAATCCATTGCATCCCAAATAAAACAGCAAAATTTTTTTGTTTTAGTTAACTTTTTTTAATTTTTCAAAACAAAATAAATGAATTGGTTAAATTAATATTTAAAAATCATTATTCACAAATAATAACTTACATAATCATTACGAAGAATATTCCATTTTTTTTGTGATAATGTTTGACATTGAGAAAATTCTTTATAAATTGATTGACTACAATTAAATGAATTTGTTTTAATTGATTGGGTTACATGAATATCATCTTTATCATGATTGGTTAAATTTTTATCAACATTATTATTATTATATGATTGAATAAATGAACAATAATCAATGATCATTATTATTGTGAAAATGATTGAACTGAACTGAACATTATTCCATAATTCATTCATTTTGTTGTTGTTTTTGTTGTTGTTGTTGTTGTTGTTGATCAAATGATTTAAAATTTAAAATCGATTTACGATTTTCAATGAAAGAAAACAATGAATGGAATTTTTTTTTTGGTTTGAAAAATTTTATTTATTAATAAAAATTCGTTGTTGTTGTTGATCAAAAAATAGATTTATAAAAATATTTTAGTAATTGAAATTTATTTTATTACTTTTTATAATTTAAAAATTTATGTAAATAAAATTATTATTATTAGTGTTGAATTTATACATTGTTAATATTGTTTTTTTTACATTAAATCTCAATCTTGATTACGCCGATTATCATCTAAATAAAATCCAAATATTAAACAAATTAATGATAAAATAAAAAAAATAATTACTATTCCAATAGTAACAAAAATTTTATCTTCAATTGTCCATCTACAAGACCAACTATGATATTCAGATTTGATTTGTTTACAAACAATATTAAATGTTTCTTTAGTGTTTATTTCTAATTTTTGTGAATATTTTTGTGAACATTCATTGGCTGCATTCACTTCACAGTCCATTGTTTCCCAAACAAAACAGCAAAATTCTTTTGTTTTTGTAAACTTTTTTTTGTTTGTTTGTTCAAAAGACATAGGAAAGATGTCAATTCAATTTAATAATTTTAGAAGAAATTTTAAAAGAAAACTTACATAATCATCTAAATCTATATGCCATTTATTTTGTGATAATATTTCACATTTTAAAAATTGATCAATAATCCATTTACTACAATTCAATGATTCTGGTAGACCATAAACAGATTTATATGCAAAACGATTGATGATTTTAAATTCATTTAGATTATTATTATATGATTGTATATATAAAACATTATTACTAGTCATTATAATCATTATTATTAAGATGTTTGAATAAAATTGATCATTACAAATGAATAATTTATTCATTTGTAATTAAAAAAAAATTTCAAGTTGTTTCGATTTTAAGATTTTAAGAAATTAGAATTTTGACAATTGGATTTTTGCATTTAAATCAATTGTTGTTGTTGTTGTTGTTGATGAAAATGAATTTTTATTTTGTAAATAAAATTTATTAATTAATGTTGTTATTTTTAATTTGATTAATTAAAAAAAAATTTGATAATATTTTGTAAATTTTCGTGTAATAATCTTCCGATTGGGCCCACCACCATAATAATTTATTTTGAGATCATTTTCTATATATGTTTGTTATTACAGGTGTTGGAAAATCAGAAGATCATTATTAAACAGACAAAAAAAAAATACACACAGTTACTTACGATTATTTAAAATTTTCTCTAAACACGATATTTTATACACATTCCTATTGTATAACAAATAAGTCCAATCATAAGTAATGAACAAAAACCAAAGACACCAGCAGCGACTAGTGTTCCAATTGCCCAATCACAAAAAAAACTAAATGGTTTATAACCAGCTTGTTCACAAAAGGTAGTAAATGTTTCTAGAGTGTTTTTTTCCAATTTTTGTGAATATTCATATGAACATTGGATGGCTATATTAATTTCACAATTCAGTGTATCCCAAACAAAACAGCAAAATTTTCTTGTTTGATAAAACTTTTTTTTTTGTTCAAAAGAAACAAAACAAAAAAAGGTGAATTTATAAAAATTTCAAATTCATTAATTATGCAATACTTACCAATTCATCATTAGTAATAAACCATTTATCACGAAATGATATTTCACATTGAGAAAATTGTAAATGAATTGATTTACTACAATTCAATGAAATTGGTAAACCATAAACAGATTTATATGGAAAACTTTGGCTGCTTTTAGTTCTCATTTGGGTATTAGTGGCATTAGTAAAGAATGAATAATGCATATGAGAACCATTGTTCACACAAACATTATTCATTGTCATAATAATGATCAACAATTGTGAAAATAGCCGTTTGTTACTATTATCATTGAAAGATAATTTAATCATAATTTTTTTAACGGCAAAAAAAAATTATAAAAATGATTTTCACAAAGGGTTTGAATAAAATGTTTGAATTAAATTTATAATAAAATTCAAATCATTCTTGCTTTTCAAAATAAAAATTTAATTAAATTTTTAAAATTTGTAATTAATTTTTTTTTTAAATTTATTCAGTTCAATTCGGTTTTGTTTTATTAGTTTGATCAATACCATTGTTGAAAGTATCCGGGTTAAATTCGATATACAAGGCATGCAACGAGAACAAATAAAAAAATCGCAATTAAAATACCAACATAAACAAAACTTTCACTTTCTGGATGGTTCCAACATGACCAACTATCTGTTGAACCAATATGATTACAAATGGATGTAAATGTTTCTCGTGTATTTGATTCTAATTTTTTCGAATATTGTTCATTACATTTTTTTGCAACATTCAATTCACAATCCATTGTTTCCCAAATAAAACAGCAAAATTTTTTTGTTTCATAAAACTTTCGAAAAAAATGAAACAGAACAAAATAAGTCAATTCTGGTTCAACAATTTTATAATCATTAGATTTGTACAACTTACATAATCATCAACCGTAATTTGCCAAGTATGATGTAATGATTTTTCACATTCATAAAATTGATTTGTAATCGATTCACTACAATTCAATGAATTTGGTAATCCATAAACTGATTTATATGGATATCTTACCCATTCAGTTTGATTATTTTGGCTACCATGCACTATGAATGAATTGGCTATACACCATTTATTCATAGTGATAATCATAACAACAAACCTTAACAACAACTTTGAATAGAATCGATAATCCATAAAGAACAATTTAATCATTCGAATATATTGTAATATTTCTATATAAATGAATTCTCAAATTCTTTTTTTTGAATTTTTCCAAAAATTTCATTAAATCTATAATAAAATTCTGTTTTGTTTTTTTTCGGTAAAACATTTATTTCATTCATAAATTTTCATTTGTAATTAAATTTATTCATTAAAAATCAATAAAATTGACAAATTAATTAGATAAATTATTGAAATTTTTTGTTTGTGTTTTTTAAAATTTAAAATAATTTTGTATTTGATTCAATATTCCATTGTAATATCGAATTTGTTAAGCTTTGTGCTACATCATTTATTTTATTAATTGATGATTCAGGAAGTGATAATGATGATCTTGTTGACGCTAATGATGGTGTTGATCCTGATTGTGGAAATAATGCTAATGATTTTGATGATGATGATGATATTGATGATTTTGGTGTTATCGATGGTGATTTCTTTGGTATTTCTCCTCGATAAGTCGAGTTTCTATGAAGAAAAGAATCTTGGTAAGGTTTTCCTCTAGGTTTTTTGATAGTAACTTCAGGAAGAGTTGGTTTTGTCTGTTTAGCTGTACATCCAATATATTTTACTCTCGCTCTTTTCGATCTTGGAGTAATTGCACGATCAAATTTTTGTGGCCAAGTAAAATCTTTATCTTTAAATGGATTTGGATATTTTCTTCTAAAAAGATCAAATTAATGTAAAATATGTTTGATTGTTTTATCAGATTTATATTGATTGTTAAATTGAAAATTTTTTTTCTCAAGAATAATAACACTTACAATTTTTTATACCAACTTCCTATCTTATACAATGAATAAAATGCACAAATAGCCAAAAGAATGGTACCAATAACTCCCATTGCAATACCAAAATTAGTTTGGGTTTTTTTAGACCATAAACATGATAAACTTTTTTGTGCTGCATTAACTTGATCACATACTTTTTTAAATGTATCTCTTGTATTTGATTCTAATTTTTTCGAATATT